GTATCTATCTAGGCTTAAATGCATATTGGTTTTTTTAACACTTTTCTCCATAACATAAAATCTGAATGATGAAACAATTTTATTCCAGGAAAGTAATGAACTAGCTTAATCCTTCTTGAGTGTGTTAAAAACATCGAAATGCATAATTATGACAATTAGGAAAAGCAGTGGTATGCCTCTGCACATCGCTGCTCACTATGTGTGTAATTTGGCAGATAATGAGTTTTATTTAGTGAACTGGGGCACAGATTTATTTCGTGACTTAATACACTTTTTATAGTGATATTTTATCTAAAAGACGTCATGAAATCTGTTATTTTCCTTTCCTTCTACGATGGCGATTTACATATGTGTATCGCTTGTCTTATATTCTTGAATTCTTACTTTCTCTTATTCAAAGTCCCAGCCGATGTGGCCCAAGTAGCTTTCGCTTTTGTGTAACATTTTTATTAATAGAAATAATATATCATCTATGATATGTGTTTACCTTATTTCGTTTAAGGTGATGAAGGACTGCTAGTTGAAATTTCCTACAATGATATGAGTAGAGTTGAAGCTTCCGTTGAATTTCGTATAGCCTTGCTTTTCAAAAAGGTGTCCTCATCCAAGATGGACTGCAGTTTCAGCCTCGTCTAAATCTTGTCAACACTCCCAGCGGGAGTCGAACCATGACAGTACCGATTGTAATTTTGATACGTTAATCATTACACCACATTGCCAGGAGTGACACTAACTGATTTCCTAATAGTCTCGAAACCTACTTATAAAAGAAAAATAACTAATTTGGTCGATTATTATAGCAAGTAAAACTTGCCTCAACAATTCCACTAGAGAATGCAATATGGAAAAATGCATGGCCTTGCTTGGAATTCACATCTGCCCTTTGACTCAAGGGCATTCGTAGCAATGTGGCGTAGTAGCTAATGAGTCAAGATCACACACTACGCAGTCATTGTTTGAGTCCTGCTAAGGGTGTTGATAAGATCTAGGCAAGATCGAAACTGCAGTTCACCTTTTGGGGGAGCTTGGCTATGTGAAATTCAATGGAAGCGTCTGCTTTGTTCATATAATTGTGGAAAAATTCAGCTACCATCATCACCTTAAATGAAATTAGGTGAATACACCTCAACTGATTCACTGGTAGTCTCTAAACTCTATTTATAGAGGAAACAATTTTTATATCTATTTATTCCTTAATTTTAATATCAGATATCCAAGTTTACATGAACAATATTCTTCCTCAGTACTCAGGTAATATTTTAAATGTGAATATAAAAATACTTCATTGACCATAATCAAGTCTTATGTCTTAAACACATTTGATATTCCTTATTAACTAATGCTGCTAGCCTTACCATAACAGTTTATTTTAATCATAAAAAAAGTTAATTGACTTCTAAAGTATATTCACTAAACAACATGCTTCGTAAACTCAATTACTCTATTCTAGAACATTGTTTGCAACCAGGTCGTTCATCTGTCCACTCAGTTCAGTCACTGGGTCCTACCGAGGCGTGCTGTACTACTCTTAATCCTTGGGGTTCGGGTTCAAGGTGCTTGGGCGTAGTTGCTGTCCTGACTATTGGTCAGACTGGGCAAACTGGTGCGGGATCATCGTCTCCGCCTTCCGGTAGTGAGTTGGACCCAGATGCCGAATGGCAAGGACTCGATTCCTCTTTTTCCAAGATTCCACTTCCGCGATACAAGAGTCCAGAGAGGTATTTCTTG